GATCTCCACAAACTCCATTGTAAAACAGCTGTAACAGCGCACTGTCAGGAGCAATGTTGATATGACATTAAAATCACTATTTTTAAAGCTATTGCCAATCTGGTAGGTTATAATCATATTTTAATATATGCCCTTTGATATTTATGAAGTTGAATAACTCTCCGTATAGTTGTCTACTAAATGAATTTTATCTTCTACACCTTTGTTCAACACCAATAGCAGCTGGTACATAGCAGGCATTCCATAATTAAATGTTGAGTGAATTAATATATCTATTAGGCTTTTCTAATTTGTTTTTTTCCTGTTCATTTTAAAAAAAGGAAAAAGATATCAACCCTTTGTATTATTTGGGATGAATATTTGCCATAAGCCTTTCATAATAAAATTTGGACCTTGCTTCCCCAGTCAATTACAGAGAGGAAACAGAACATAATTTACCCTTTTTAAAAACTGATTCAGCCTTGGCTGGTGTGACTCAGTGGATTAAGTGCTGGCCTGCAAACCAAGGGTTGCCACTTTGATTCCCAGTCTAGGGCCCATGCGTGGGCTGTGGGCCAGGTCCCCAAGTAGAGGGTGCACAAGAGGCAACCACACACTGATATTTCTCTCCCTCTTTTTCTCCCTCCCCTCCCCAAAAATAAATTTTAAAAAAATCTTAAAAAAAAACTGATTCAGGATAATCACATACTATAACAGCGATAGCGATTCAATTTTTATTTGATACAGCATTTTCTATAAGAATTTTCTTCAGATAAAGGTAAGTTTCCTAATATTTTAAAATACTTAAGAGTTAAAGCATTTTTTAAAAATACAACTTAATAGTATTCAATAATAAATAAGTAATAAAATAATAATTTCTCACATCTCCAAAATCTCTAATAACTGCAAGGTTAGAATTCTGTATTAGGTGAGATCAGTATTGTAACAACCTCTACATCAGAACCTAATTCCACACATAGGAAACACGTACTGCTAAAAAACAAACAAACAAACAAAAACCCGCACTCAAATATTTCATTTGAATCCTGATTAAGTATGGCTTGATAGCTAAAGGCTGTGATTCTCATAAGAGAATAGATCAAAGAAACTAAAGCTCTCCACAAATGCATACTCTATGGGGAGCACACTCAGGTATTCCTGTCAGCAGTAAATGACTCTCCCTTGCAGACTCCCATTCATCTTTCAGGGGCAAAAGTAACAGCAACCCCACTTTCGGGGTGGTCTGCTGGGTTTCAAACCTCCTGACCAGTGACACTTCGCCGTGAAAAGAGAAGGGTCCAGGCGAACCACTCGCTGATGCCGGATTTTCTCTCCGTCCCACCTACAGAGCCAGAGGTGTGGCTCAGGTTGCATGGCTTCCTCCGTGTTTCCAAAAGATTTTCTTTTGCATATGCATTTGAATCTTTTATTTCTAATGTATATTTTATAGTCTAATAAAAATCAATCATATCTTTTACATTTAATTCTAACAGTATTCTAATACATTTTATACTCTAACATACAATCCTAGTAAAATAGTCTCACTGCAGCCAAGCAGACTGCATGGCACCCACTGGTACTGCACCACACCGATGGTGGCACAGCTGGCAACCGCGACCCACTCAGACCCCAGCATCTGGGGAGGAGTTTTCCTACTGGCAAGGGTTCCCCTTCCCACGGTGTTCTTCTTAGTAGCACCATTTTCCCCATCGCTCTGCCAGGGTTTCAATGAGCAAGAATTTCTTGGCAGTTAACTCACGGTTTCCACCCACCAAAGGAAACTGAAAGGACCAAAGGCAACAACCAGCTACTTGAGAATTTTAAGGTTGTCATCTCCCGTGGAGCCATTCCACTGATTAAATTTCCATGTTACTAAACGTTAAGAGAAAGCCCCAAATCTGTTCAGGCTACAGACTAATTGTCCTGTTTTGGACACAAGCACTATGACTATATTGTAAGGGTTATGGTTTGACAACAAAAATCCCACATTTTGTGTATTTCTATAAAAGTCTCTCTTCACAAAAACTAGTTTGTAGTTTCTGGTTTGCAAAGAACTTTACTATTTGTTCCTTCATGTTTTACTAAATGCTATTGTAAAAGTCAGAGAACAAGATGTTCCCAAGTAACTAAGGGATGTGCTTCAAGGATTCAATAAGTAGCATTTGTACATTATTTTGCAATTTAAAATATTGCCTTTCCACACATTACCTCTTTTGATCTGCACAGCAGCACCACGGGAGGTAAAGACAAGGAAATGACCCGTGTTTTACAGTTGAAGAAGCCCAGCTCACACAGTTTAAGTGTCCAAGGTCACAAAGGGAAAAATGAAGTAACCAAAACGTAAAACACAAGTTTTCTGTTTCTCTAATTATACCACAATGACTATGTGTAAACTGAAGCTTGGGACTAGAAATCGATCTTCCCACAAAGGTTAATATTACACATGGTGGTTTGGAGTCTAGACTGAGCCACAAAGACTTTTAACTCTTACAGTCTGAACTCTCAAAAAGTGGCACAGCACTATACACCTAAAAGTGCATTTCTGTGGGGTGACCTGAGTAAGGCCCTAACTTAATGAATGAGATCACATCTTTGGTAAGGAATGTACCACATACTGCAGGGGAAAGACCCTTAGTCCTACAAAGGACTGGCCAATCTCCCTGACACCCATCCTCTGAAGAAGCAGCAAAAATGGACTGCAGAACCACAGACACACCCCTTCCCTTCTTTCTGGTCCCCCTGGCCACCGTTTCTCCTTAGCAGTGGAGACATAAGAAGACGGTAGTTATAGAAATACTAGCTGCTTTCTGGGATTGTGGTGGCATCACTCTTAATCCCCAGTAGAAGAAGCAGTCTGTTTCACGTATATTAGATATGTGTAGGGCAGAAGTACCAGTAGCCGGAACAGCAGACAAGTCTCACCTTTCTCCCATTTTACTGATGAGCACTCAGATGGAAGTGCTTCAGAGACTGCAACAGAGATCAGAGGGGAGAAGAGTGGATGGGAGAGGCCCCCCGGGCATGTAGACATGATTATTCAGGAGCTTTCGTCTTCATTTTACATCCAAATTTGAGAAAGTAATGAAATCAGAAAGACGTGACCGCATTTTTTAGACATGTTCATTTTATTTGCTCAAAAGTAGGACATTAAATGGAAAACATGATTAAATCACTGCTATTCTTGCCTCTCATTTCCAAAGGGTATCTTCTACTTAACAAGCATACTAATTTTTCAAATGATGGTTTCTCTAACAGCTGTGAAAACTATAAAAGCTATTCTCTACAGGCCAACTATAAAGGAAACCCACGTCCTGACTGAGCAAATACCTCTTCATACTTCCTTTCCCCCTTAATATTATGGAAAGGGAAAAACTGACTAATAAGACTCCAGAGATTTCATGCATTTTAAGCACCCCTTACTTCTCCCCAAATATAAACCAGGTTTCCTGTACTGGAAGATAGCGTGAGCATCAGAATCACATGGGATGTTTAGGAAATGAAAAGGTTCCACCTGGCACAGAGGTGGAAAAGAGGAATCTGCAATTTTATATCATTCCACAGAAAATTCTGATGGTCAGGTAAGTTCAAGTCAGTTAGCGTAGCGCAAAGAACCCTGGATAGTTCATACTGATTGGCCAGGCCTCCCGCACTGTTCCCAAACCTCTGGGTAGCCTTCCAGGACACCCTGTACTCCTATATCCAGATTTTATACACCTCTTTTTAAAAAAGATTTTATTTATCTTTAGAGGGGAAGGCAAGGAGAGAGGGAGAGAAAGGTCAATGTACGGTTGCCTCTCGTGCATCCTCTGCTGGGAACTGGCCTGCAGCCCAGGCATGTGCAGGCTTTATACACCTCTTGACACAGGTCCTCACCCCACTGACTCCCACAGCATCCTGCATAGAATTCATCTGATGGAATTAGGGCTGTTAATGGATGGGCTTCTCCTTGAAACTGTGAATTTCTTGATGGTCAAGCATTTCAATATTGTTATGTGTTTCAATTTTCCCAATATTTGGCACCAGTACCTGGTATTTGTCAGGGATCCAATAAATGTTTATCAAATAAATGACAAATGAATCAGAAATCACAGATCTCATAACTAGTCCTTTTCGATTATGTGATTTTAGTTAATTAACTTCTCTGAGTCTCATTTTCTCTTCTCAAAGATGAAGACATTGAACAAGTAATTTCGTATGGAATCTCCAGATAGAGACCCCCTGTCAAGATAAAACTATATCAACTCATAGCAAGGCTCTAGGTAAGGCTGCAAATGGTGGGTGGCACAGAATACATAGTCAACAAATATGTGTATTATGTGTGGATGACACTGGTGCTTTTCCTTATTTTCCTATTCACCAGTAACTTGGACACAAGGCAAATCTGTCACATTTTCAGTGGTGGCAGCCTCAAATATCATGGACAGTACTATGTTTACAACGACAGGAATTCAGATTTAGACAGTTATATAGTTCCAGCAGCATTTTAATCAAGTAAGCACTGGTTCTCTAAAGTCTGTGGATGGAGCTCTGAAGGAAAACTCAGTCTAATAAATGCATAATTGATTAAAAGTTTAACTGTTTCCAACACTAGCCTGTTAAGCTCCATGGGAGCGGGGACAGTGTCTGTCTTGTTCACTGGTAACCCTCCCAATGCCTAGCAAAGTGCCTGGCTCACATCAAAGGGCCAGTAAATGTTTGTTACATGAACGGAGGCTGCTGAAATTAGCACTAGCTCCAGAATAACGGAAGAAGGAGGCCATTAACTACAGTATGTGCTACCCCACTGATTGCTGAAGTTCCTTATAAACTACAGGATGATCTGGCCCAAAGTTTGTGAGATGTGTCTTAATATTATCTGTGATAGTTTCGACAATAGAATACCAACAGATAACCATTAATTAACAACCCAAACTCAAAAACATGGCAAGTATTTAAGGTGAATTTATTAAGGAAAAATATATACATATATCGCTAAATTTATTATTGTTTCTAAACACATATTTATTGAATAAAGTACTTACGTCCACAATCATCTTTGATATTTATAGTATCAAATGGCATATCTACCAGAGGATCCATAGTACTGGCTTCAAATTCTTCTGATATTTCCTTTTCTCTTGGCATATTTTCACAATCATTGGAATTTACTCCTTCTTTAACATATTACAAAGAAGAAAAATGTATTATTAAACTTAATTAGCTTATATTCTAAGCTAAAAATAACTCAACTGACTTCAATATAAACATGTTAAGAAATGACACCACTTGTATTCAAATATACTATGAAACTACTTATATTAATATTATATATACCATAGTCTACATTTTTATAAATGCACTTTCATGCTAAGCAGCTGTGATAATATTCTGAAGCACTATACTCAACCCAGGGTTAAATGAAGACTTACTTATTAACAATCTTCAAGATCTTTTACAGCTATGTTTTCTTAATTCTAAACCTATATTTTTTCACATACCTTCTCGAAACATACCAACACAGTTTTGTAGGTCTTTCTCATGTTTACTTTTAACAATATCACTATGTATTCTCATTTGTATAAGTTCTGACCTTTATTTTTTTCTTCAGTAAAGACTTTTAAAACTTTTCTCTCCATTATCACATTAAAATTGGAAATTCAGTCAAAAATATATGACTCTAAATATACTATTATGGAAATTCAATGATTAAAAGACAAAAGACCCTACAGTTTACTATGAGTCTAATCATAAACTCACAACTATCTGAAACACTCAAGAACAAGTAACTGTTTCCTTTCTACTGTTATGCTTGCACTGAAAACTATACTTTATCCTTAAATAAAAATTCTAACAGACCAATACAAAAGCTTTAATAGACGAACATGTGTCTTGTACCTCTGGGCACATACAGCCACACGTAAAGGGTCACCACTGACCATGGGGCTTACACCTGGGAAGCTGGCAACAAAGAGTAGTGTTTGCGCAATTAAATAGGCACGGTCTGAATGAAAGTCAGAACAAAATGAAATAAACCCAATGTCTGTTGTTCTCTATTTTATTCTTAATCTAATTAATTAGTTATAATGTCTAAGGATCTGAGGTGCGGCACAGTGACTACAGTTAATACTGTATTATGTACTTGAGATTTACTAAGAGTAGATCTTAAGCATTCGCCCACACACACAAAAAAAACTATGTGAGGTGATGAATGTGTTCATTAACTTGATTGTGATAATCATCTCACAGTGTGTACTTATATTAAATCATCAGGCTGTTCCCTTTAAATTGATACAATTTTACATGTCAGTTATACCTCGATAAAGCTACAGGGGGAAAAGAACACAGTAATATGAAATTGGCCCACTTAACACTGACATCTTAATACTAGCTCCCAAGCCCCTGGGCCACCTGGAAATATACTGGATTCTTGGCATTATGTCAACTTTTATGCTCTAATGACACATTTTGAAGTCAAGAAGAAAAATTAAATAGCATGGTTAATTAAATTTAGTCACCTTCTTTAGTGAAAAAAGTTCTTGCAATAGTTTAACATTTAGTTTATGTTGTGCCCAATTAATCAACAACAAAAAACAAGAGCTATGCGGGTCACTGGCTGTACCAAAAACACTCACGCAGTGTCAAGGGTGACAACAGTGGCATTTAGGTAATGATGAAGGCAAACTGACTGCTGTAACAGAAAGGGTTTGAGACCAGACATGAGTCTAGCTGTGTGATCCTGGGCAACTCATGGGAACTACCTAGGCCTCGGCAGTTATTTGATTCCTTACATGACAAAGTTATCCTGGTTGAAAATTTTTAACCCTGGCAGCCAGTTAGAACCACTTGAGGAGGTGTTTTTAAATTACCAGTGTCTGGTCCCTGCCCAGGCCAAGTAAATCACAGTCTCTGGGGATCAGGCCAGCCTCCCGTATTTGTTTTTAAAGCCTTGCAGGGTGATCCTAACGTGCAATGGAAGTTTGAAAAACACTACCCTAGAAAACCCCCCTTTTACTCTGTCACACTTTGTTTCTACACCAGACTGCGGGACTGTGTTAACGCCGGAGAACAATCAGTTTAAAGGCTAAAAACTCAAACCAGACGTTAACTGTCAAGACCATCTTTCCTGACCCTCAGTTCAGGGCTGGCTTAGGTAATCCAGTCTCCTTCTAGGTAATGGTGCTTCCTCCTGTCACAGCATGAATGCATGGTGTTACAGAGGTCCACATGGCTGTCTTCCCCTTTAGACTCTAGGCTAAAGAGACATACAGTTTGCAGCCCAAACCCAGATACTTTTGAAAGTGAAAGAGAAAGCTTTTAATTATTACAAAAGTGTATCAGTTAGTAGGGTCACCTTACTCTAAGTACCTTAAGTGCCATGTCTTACTCTCCTTGGATTCCTCAATGCCTAGAACAGTGTTCAGTTCACAGTAGATGATCAATACATTTGTACTAAATGACTAAATAAAGGTCAGATACACATTTGGGAATGGCTAATAAATTATTCCAGCTGCACTGCATTAGAGCTTTATCATAATGCCCATGAAAAATAACTCCTGGTGCTTAAAGGCAGCTTCGGCACATCAGATTCTCATTTTCACAGAATGAATGAAGGAAAGGTACTACATCCTATATGACATAGTAACCAATATTGACACATAATATGACTTGCTCAACACCATTCTCCATCTTAAATAAAGCATAGAGAAACTCTTGATGGCAATGTTATGTCAAAATCCACACGAGTGTAGAACATGAAAAATGAACTTTGTTCCATTAAATTACAGAATACTTGAAACCATTTTTATGGTTTCAACTCAGGAAAAAGAGAACATTATCAATAATAATAATAATATTAACTCAGGAAAAAGAGAATATTTTGTTCCAGTAACTCTTGAGAGAACTGCTGGTCATTCTATAAAGCAGTTTCTCAACTGGGTTCAAATCTAGAAGCCTCCCTCCAGCTCTCTAATCAAAGCTTTAGTGTTAGGCGAAGGCTGGAAGACAATAATTGAACACATCCATCATAACTTTTATAGAAGGTATACATATTTCATTTTTGGAAACTGCCTTAAAATAACTGGCACTTAACTAAAGAACTTAAACTGTAAGTTTAAGTAATGAACTGAAAGTTCATTGTTTTCAGTACTTAAAATTTGGTAATGAACTGAAAAGTTCATTGTTTAAAATTCAGTAATGAACTGAAAAGTTAATTGTTTTCAGTACTTAAAATTTGGTCTAACCTTAGTTAAAATAAAATTCTATCTTTTGTAAAAATCCAAATAAAAGCAATGTTTCAAAGGGCACTAATAACATAAAATGAGGTCAAACTGGCAAACTACTACTACTACTACCAACAGCAGCTAACATTGAGCCTGAGCTTGTACTACATCCCAAGCACAGCCAGAGAAGTACTTTACAGATAGTAACTCCACACAACCACACTATCTGGGAGGTACTATTGGGTTGGCCAAAATGTTGGTATTGTTTTTTCCACAAAATAAAAGGCATCTTTCATTTTCACCAATAACTTTATTGACTTGGAAATTCTGAGTATGTGGGCGCTTCTCCCACGTGGTAGAACCTTGATGGTTCTCACTGTTTCTATTTGATTGCTAGTAACTTCAACGGGTCTAGCCCAACGACCACAGAGCACTGTATAGGGAGAAATCTCCAGCACGAAACTTCACAAACCACTTTTGACATATTCAATCAGTCACAGCACTGCACAAATCTTTTTGTGTGTTTCAGTTGTGTTTTTACCTTTCTTGAAATAATAAAGCTTAATATGCCAAAAATCTTGCTTATTTTCTTCCATCTTCAATATTAAAATGGCTACACAAAATTTCACCAATTTTGATAAGTTTTTTAAATATATTTTATTGATTATGCTATTACAGTTGTCCCATTTCCCCCCCTTCATTTCCCTCCATGATAAGTTTTTTAAGTACACACTGATATGACAGCTGTCCCAATACAATCTAAAAAAATTGTTTCGAATGAACTTAAAGACAACTAAGCACTACTAGAGCCATCCCATGGGAAAAAAAATGAACAAACTTTTTGGCCAAACCAATATTATTATTATGATTTTACAGACTAGCCAATTAAGTAACTTCTTCAAGGTTACAGCTAGGTGTCGGGATGGAATTTAAGTCCAGTCACTCTGCTGCTAAACCTGCCCCTTCCGGCAACATGTCCTGCTGCCTCTTATTATACACAGTTTATAGTGCTGTAAATTGAAATAATCCTTTCAGAAAGCAGTCTGGCAACAGATCAGGAACCTATGATACATACAGCATGCTGTATATATCATATATATATGTCATATACAGTATGCTGACAGAGATTCACCACAGCTTTGTTTAAACAGAAAAGAAAAAGTGGAACAGCTTAAATGCCTAATAGGGATATGGTTACACAAAATGTACTCACTCTAATGGTAATTAAGAATAATGGCTATGAAGACTGCAACAACCAGAAAAAAAGTGTATACCAAACCTTGACTTCTTAAAAAGCAAATGTAACACTATGATTACAATTAGGTAGGAAAAGCCTAAAGGATATAAATTTCTAAATGCTGGCATAGTTGTCTTCAATACATTGGTATTTTCCCACTTTCTGCAACTCAAATGTTTTAAACAGAATTATTATTAGTTTTCGTAAGGAAAAAAGTATACATTTAAAATGTATCTAAAAACCATAAAGTGTACACTAATATTCACATATATGTGCACTGCAACAAATGAGTTCATCACAGACAGTCCAATAGGGAGGAAAAAGGACAGTTTGCTCTTTGCCACACAAAATGCAAGCTTCCTATTTGGATAACAAAACATGGCTTTATTAAGCAAGACTCTTCATTCTACTAGGTATATATTTTGATATATTCCCAAGAACCAATGGAAAGGGTCCAGGCCATTCGTGCTAGTCCTGGCTTTGCTAGTAAAAACAGTAGCATCTTACATCTGGATAAATGCTGACAGCTGCGTGACAATCAACAAGTCACTTGACCTCCGTGGTTTCCTCATCACAAAAATAAAAGGACAATACAATTGCTAGAGAAAAATGGATGAAATAAGATAATAATACCTGAAAAGGAATGCAAGGAAACAGTAACCTCCAAAAACCTGTAAAACTTTGTGTTGAAAAATCCCAGAATGCTATCTCAAACACCCAAACCCACAGTCATAATTATTTTATTCCCATGACAACTGTAAATGTATTTACACTAGTTAACAGCTATTATATAATACAACTAACCTTTTAATGCTTTTTATATTTTTATTGTTTCACTACAAAGGGCTTACAGAAGACGACCTTTTGTCTAATTGATTTCTGTCCCTTTCACCTAAAGTCCAACCCATCACTGGCTCCTTAAGTTTCGAAATAAACACTGACCTAAGCTGGAAATTAATTCTGGGCCCTACTACAGATTTGGCGCCAGTTTAAAAAGGTCCTCTTCAAACACTTAGAATAAAGTTCTCAACGACACACTGTGGTGGGTCAGGTCTTTTATGTTTAAAATAAGAATAAAAGTCGAGACTCTCGAGGTTTTGCTAACCACACACCGTCGGAAAGTGTGTGTTGGCATGAAGTTTGTACTAAGGGACACAAGATCAAAAAGGCGGCAACAAAATTGAAACCTTGGGTGCGTCCACACCCGTCGCCCCCGTTGCACCAACAGTTCGTGCCTTGCACTAAACCTCTCTCAGGAGTAGCACTGGTGACAACCAGCGGCACCGGGCAGCTCAGTGCTACGCCGAGCCTTCCAGCGGAGGGAATGCGCGTGGGGCGGGCTCGGGGTCACGCTCCACGCACGGGGAACTGGGGCGCGGGGGCGAGGCGGAGCCCTCCCCGAGGCCGCGCGAAGCGGGGCCCACGCCCCCCGGCTCCGGTCGCCCCCCTCGGCCAGCTGGGCAGCCCCGGCTCACCCGCTTCGGGGCGCTCCATGGTGTAGGCACTAGCAGGCACCGCGTCTCGGCGGGCGGTGGTGGTGGTGGTAGTGGCCCGGCTCGGCGGCCCCCACCTTTGAGCAGAGCGGAGGCAGGGGCGGGGCCGGGGCCCAGTGGGCGGTGCGTTGGGGCCGCGGCCGCAGCGGGCAGCTGAGGTTCTGGCCGCGGCGATGTAGTCTGCGTAGGCGCCGAGCCCCCAGAGCCCCAGTCCCCGGAGGAGCGGCATGCCCGGACCCGGGGCCCGGGACCCGGAAGGGGCGGAAGGGGACGCCCCGACACGCAGTGGTACCCGGATTCGGCTGCACGCTGGGTGGGAGGGGCCGAGGAGCCGCGACCCCGGGGCCGCAGGGAGTTGGGGCTCCGCTAAACCCCCGAAGGCTCAGTCCCCGCCTCTCTCCCGAGCGGGACGTCCTCTCTGCAGCCTTTGGCTGCCTTCAGTCTTTTTCCGTTGCCAGCTTTCCCGCCCCACGCTTTGAGGGGTGACATTGGGACCCGGCTGAAAGCATTTCCTGGCCTAGGGTCTCCTGAGGATCCTTGTGTTTAGTTTCGCAAAGAGCTTTCAAAACACATCTCTGATTACAAAATATTTGGGAAGAGCAAATTGTACAGGAACGACATTTTGGCCATCTGTATAGTTAGATATTCTATTTAGCCTTTTTTAAAGCCGAAGTGTGACAAAGTCTCAAATTTTTAACAATTGTTCATGCCTACAAATTAAAAGGGAACCAGCTGCAGGTTATTGCAGGTTAAATCACTGGTACAAGTAAAATGGAAGAAAAAATTAATTATTAATTTTTTTTACTTTGGTACCAAATTCTACAGACTTTTTCTTTTAAATGCAAAGAAACCATGCATTAAGAAAATTAGGTATTTCTCAGCAAATTGCATTTTTCAACAAATCAGCCTCTCTTTTGAATGACATTTGGCTTATTTTGAATGCATCCTAGAATGGGGATAGAAGCAAAAACCTCAGGACAATATATATCATACAAAATAAGTCATAAAGCTTGTTACCCTCATATTAAAATAATCTAGCAAGTTGAGTGTTTGCTTTGCACACCATAGCAATTAGGGGCTGATTAGAGAGGTCAGAGGGAAAGAGGGGTAGAGGAATGGATAAAAGAAGGTGAATGGATTAACTAAAAAACATATATACATAACACATTGTCACAGGCAATGTTGTGGTGGTAGCCAGAGGGGAAGAGGGTAGGGGCTAATTGGAGATGGCCAAGGGGGAGAAAAATGGGAACAGAAAGAGGCTTTGCTTGGGACAGTGGACACACGTTGCAATGTGCAGATTATATTTTATTGAGTTGTACACTTGAAGCCTGATGGTTTTGCAAATCCAATAAATCCCATTTAAAAAACAAAAAGAAAAAATAGAAAGTCAAGTGCTTTGCACACTCATAGCAGCTAAGGGCTGATTAAGAGGTATGATAGGTTCCCCTAATATTTAATGCCTGAGCTCCCTCCTGAGGTTGAGCAGGTGAATAAGGCAGGTCTTTTTCCACTTACCTAATAGAGAAAGAAATATGAGGAACTGCAAAAAGCAATAAGCTAAAAAGTAAGCCATGTTAATATCGAAGAGCATTGGAATATGCCACCCCAAGACATGCCTCCTCTGCTGTTCCAAACATTTCCTGACATCACTACTTAAGCATTCCAGGCTGCCACCTAGGCCCAGTCCTTGCCTCACTGAACTTTCCTGGTCCAGTCTCCCTTCCAGGAAGTCCAGCTCTTCAGACAGAGCTGACTGGTGGTAAACCTGGCCACGTGGATCCTCTCAGCTTTCAGGGTAACAGTTTCTTGCAAATTAGAAGACCAATGACTTCCATATAAGTTACACTCTGAATAAGAAGTAGGCCAGGGTGGGTGATACATTGGATTATTTGGATTTCTGAGATGGACAGAATTCATTGAGACAGCCTATTCTTTTACAGACAACCACACTTTTTCTCCCAGGAGGACAATGTACACTCCAAGGTCACTGGATTGAAAGTTTTATAACACAAAATTCAACTGAGGAAATTTTAAAGATATTATTGAAAGGCGCTCTGAGGAACTTTACAAAATGGAAGACTTTCATAGGCAGAAGGGAGCAGGAACAAAAAAAGTTAAACTAGGCAAAAAGCAGATTGGTTCTGGCAAGGTCATTTTTCTTTAGGAAGATTACCTAATAGTGTTGATTAGGTGATTCCTGATTGACTGGTTTAAGATTCCATGTCTGGGAGAGGTGAAACTTTAATAAAGTTTTAGCTTGTTGACTTGGGACTTAGCATAAGCAATTTCATTTGGGGGCCTGTTGTCTTGTTTTTAACAGAAGGGTTCAGCTTCAAGTTACCACGCTGCTTCAGTTCCACGACCCCTCTCTGACCTTCAGAGAGAGAGGGAAGGAGGGAAGGAGAGATAGAGAGAGACTGGTTGCCTCCCATAGACGCCCAGACCAAGTGTGAGTGGTAGGAACCTGAACTAATATATTGGCCCAGAAATAAAAGTGACAGAATTAAGTTATCGCAAGGCAATCATTGGTGGAACTTAGCAGTTAATGATGTATAGGAAAAGAAAATGGGTTGGCTGGCACCGAAAGATTGGGAGGGGATTGAATTAATTGGGTGTTCCTAGAGCCATCTAAAACGAAGAGGATGAGAAGTGAGAGGATGGAGAAACAGACAGGGAGTTGAGTGAGCAAGATGCTGGATACTGTGTGCTGGGTAATGGTGCCCTCCCCCTGATCTCAGACAAGTCAATTGTTAAATCCAACAGTCTTAAGTGTGAGTGATTTTGTTGTGGAAACTGAAGACAGGGCTGCAGAACAGAGAGCACACCAGGACTGGGAGGGGCCTGTGGTTATAAGCACCTAAGGATTTGCAGAAATCTTGGGGAGAAGGCTAGACTTCCACAGGCCATCGAACCTTGAGCCAGTTTTGCTAGCTATTGAGAGGCAGCAGCAGCATTCAACTGGATTCCATTTAAATGCCCAGGGAAGGAGAGAGATACGGTGAAAGACAAAACCCCACTGAGTAATATTGGAAGTCAGAACAAGATGAATATGTTGATCTGAGGAGAGACAGGAGGGGTGCAAGTGAAAATAGATGGATCCTGTCCATATTTGTGTGGGGTCTTGGTTAAGGGAGCTACTTTCTAAAGGTGTCAGTTTTCCTGATGGAAATAAATGGTGATGGAAATACTGGCTTGGGTATCTTAGTTGGCCAGAGCGTCATTCTGATATGCCAAGGCTGCAGGTTCAATCCCCAGTCAGGGTATGTATAAGAAGCAACCAGTGAGTGCATGAATGGGTGGAAAAACAAATCGATGCTTCTCTCTGTCTTTTCACACCCCCTTCCTCTCTCTCTAAAATCAATCAATCAAGTCTATTTTGTCTGATATAAATATAAAAAAAGAAAAGGAAAATAGGTGGTGAAATCATAGTCTTGGTAATTTAGAAGCTTTATAGATAAACAAGCGGTCATTTAAATTATGCATTTGAATGAGGTTGCCCAGGAAGAGTGTATGGAGGTAGAAAATTAGACAACTGTGAATGGAACACCTTCTGTCTTTATGATAACAATCTGATTTTTGTGTGTGTGCATTTCATCAGCTGCCTGAACTAATATATACTTTCTATATTTCTTTCCTTCTGGGTAAGAATCAGAAATAATAACTAAGAACATTTTCTTCAAGAACATGATTCTTTTTCTTCAAACAAACAGGGATCACGGCCCTGGCTGGTGTGGCTCAGTGGAATGAATGCCCGTCTCCAGACCGAAGGGTCACCAGTTCAATTCCCAGTCAAGGCACATTCCTGGGTTGCAGGCAAGGTCCACAGTTGGGAGTGTGTGAGAGACAACTGATTGGTGTGTCCCTTGCACATCAATGTTTCTCTCCTTTTTTCTTTCCCTCCCCCTGTCTCTAAAAATAAATAAATAAAATCTTTATAAAAAACAAAAACAGCCCTGGCTGGTGTAGCTCAGTGGATTGAGCGCAGGCCTGCGAATCAAAGGATCGCGGTTTGATTCCCAGTCAGGGCATGTGCCTGGGTTGCAGGCCAGTTCCCAGTGGGGGTCACGTGAGAGGCACCCATACATTGATGTTTCTCTAACTCTCTCCTTCCCTTCCCTTCCCCTCTAAAGATAAATCAATAAAATCTTAAAAATTAAAAAAACAAAAACAAAAGGGATCATTAATTTCTTACAAGGTATATGCTACTTTGTATCATTATGCAGAAGATAATGATGTTCTTATATTGTTTTGGGATAATCTCTATTTTTATACACGAAAGTAGTGCTCCTGACCACATTTTGGGCAAATGCCAAATTGGGAGATTAGGTTTAACAGCTCTAATTAGGCTTCCTGAAATTGATTAGTGCTGGGGATTAGTTTCTCATCTGAGGGTTTTATTTTACAAGATTTCTAAATTCACAATCGTATGTTTTCTTGGTTATTTTTTGTATCATATATATCATTTAAGCTGTCATTATACTTTCTGATAGACCATCCTGCATTAATGATTTGTTGTTTTTTCAATTGTTTTTACTCTCTAGTAAGATTTTCTAAATACTGAAGGTTTTAAGTGCTATGTCAAACTCTATTTTCTGGGTCATCGAGGCTGTTATTATTTGTTGGTTTCATTGTCCTCTTGATATGTTACAAAGTATTAAAGCAGGTTGTCTTTAAACTTCCCATTGTACATTTTAAATGTGTATTATAATTCTTTTTTCTTGGGTAGATTTTAACAAAGGTTATATTAATATGGTATTAACATTTGGGTTAGTAGATGTCACATCTTTTTAAATGTAGTCATTTTATTGCATATTTGGCTTAAGTATTTCTTGTTTTTTAATAGGGTAATTGATATTCCAAATAATATCACATAAGACTTCACTATCAAGATTAAACTTATGTGTATGCCAACCAAAGTATAATTGACAATTACTATGTCATGAAGTTTCCTTTTTCAGTAAAAGGAATGGGAAAAAACAGAACAAGTTTAAAAGTTCCAAGAAGAAATAGAATCAGAGTGGAAGGAAACTTGGATCTATTCTGCCGTACACAGCAAAGGATTTCCATACAGACAGTCATCTGTCTGAATACACTCACTACCTAATGGCTCTTTGCCTAAATATTGTGTCGTGTCAGTTCAAACAACATCTTTCCTTGTCTATTGATCTAGCTATACAATGAAAAAATCCAAAATAATTATAATCAGCAAAACTGCAAAACTTCCTTCACTCTAAGGTATCAACTCTCCAAGATCTTGACTCTTTCAGTCTTTAT